TTTTGTGAATGGGTACAACGTAAGATTTCTTCCAGCTATTTGGATATGTTCCACTCCTTATCGAAGTTGAAAATATCTTGAGAAGAAGTAGATTCATGTCATTTCCACCCTTTTTTAAGAGGACAGAAGACATTCCATCTGGGCCGGGAGTATTAGTAAGCTTAAGAGTTGTGGTAGCTTTATCGATTTCTTGGGCGTTAAAGACTACATCGCTTAAACACTTTTCTGTTTTACGAGGGAAATCTATATCCTGGTCGTTTTCTAGAGTGTACAATTTGGCAAAGTGCGTGCTGAACACCTCACATATATCCTCATCACTTTCGTGAGTAATGCCACCTAAGTGTATTATTTTTGGATATGTTGATTTGGAGTTAGTTAACCTACTTTTGAAGAGTTTGGCTATTTCTCCAGTGTTATGTGGCGACTGAATTGCCCGCGTCTCTTTATTTCTTAGACTTAGATTTTTTAACTCATGGATTCTAATGAGGATTGTTTTGATAGCTATTAACGACGATAAGTCGTGATGTCTGTAGTAACTTAATGAATGCTTCCGCATACTTCTTCTTAATGATATTGGAATAAAATCACCTTGAGGAATTTTGAATTTAATCAGTTTCACAGGCGCTATGACATCATTAACCGACTGTATATTGTCATAGAAGTTTTTAAGGACTTCCTCTAAGGAGTCATTGGTAAAGTAGGAATCCCAATTAGAGTATCTAATCAAGTCCTGATACAAGTCCCAGTCAACCTGCGTGTATAGTCTTATAGGTGTCGGAATAACTTTGTTTCTGTGTATAGTTTCTGGAGAAATATTAAACGAACATGCAACTATTTTATGATCACTACCTGGGAATTCATGTCCCACATGAATTGTAGATGGTGCTACGTTGATCGTGAATATAAGATCAAGGATGTTATCGGACCTAGTGGGTACATTTATGTGCTGTGTCCATCCTCCTGTAGTGATGGAATTAAGAAGATTATCATACCTCGAGGGTCCTTGAAGTGTACGCCATGATATATCAGGCAAATTGAAGTCACCTCCAATTATATTATAACTGAAGGGAAGATTGGATGCAACACTAAATACGTTGCTGAGTACGTTATCGTATTCGCGGTTGGATGATGGCGGTCGGTATACACACCCTATAAGGATAGGTTTACTTCTGAGAACTTTTATTTCGACCCACACCGAATCATTAAGTTGTGACAGAATAGGGTGACTAAAATGCGTTGCACAAACGGGTTGTTTAACGTATATGAGTGTTCCACCCCCACGACCTGTTTCCCTATCCCCTCGAAAAAGATTGTACTTATCAATTGATAAGCTATCATCCGTAATATCACTTGAGCACCAGGCTTCAGTGATCATGATCAGCGACGGATTGCATATAGAGGCTAACGTACATAATGCTAAATGTTTGTTAAGAACTGATCTAGCGTTTATGAGGATGACTGATAGACTTTGACTAAGTGGTTTTAGTGTATGGGCAATATCATAATAAAATGCTCTATGGTTATCAGCCGAATATGTGCAGTCGTTATTGGATTCATTAATTGCCACATTTTGATCCCTAGAGACGTTTTCTTTAGTTTGATACTTAGGGATGGGTTGTGAGATGTCACTCGTGAGTGGTTGGTGGTTTAGATATTGCGTGCTATGGGAGATACTAGTATGATAATCTAAGGTATTACTATTGGTATTAGGTGTGTCATCCTTGTAGCATATACGAAAGCCTGAAAGGCGATCAGCGTGTTCTGCAACGCAGAAATAAATCGTAGAATCCTTATGGCTTGACACGTTCACCTGGACCTCTAATTTTTCTCTGCATTCCATAAGTATAACGAAAGACTACCAATTTATACGTTAACTACTAAAATTCATGGCTCCGTATGCACTTCTTCACTGCATGATGTCTGTGTTGCCTAAGACTATTGCTTTATATATGCTTGCGACTAGATAAAATTCAGTCAAAAGCGCTATGTATGTCCAGTGACGTGAGAACAGCAGGTTGGCTACCGTTACCTTCAGGAGCAGACACGTTCATCACATTTGAATGAAATGGATACACAACAGTTTTTCAAATTAGATGCCCATGAATTGCCTATAGCAATTAGAAAGTGACATGGAAACAGAAACTGTTGTGTTTTTCTCTACAAATGCTATAGTTTTGCTAAGTGCCTGATTACGGCCACAACCACTTATTTGAACATTCTTGAACGACTGTTGTGGACACTGGTAATAACATGAGGGTGCATAGAAATCATTTAGATGCTAGTGGCGGAAATTCGCCATACATCTTACAGGTCAACATATCCAACAGGTTCTAATCCTTCAAGCCAATTTTCTCTGAAATGTCACCCACAAACTCCACGACAATCCTTTTATCTAATTACCATTATACTCTATTTTATCTCAACTCCATGGGCCTTTAATAAAGCTAAAATCTACTCTTTTCATTCACATTCTTCGCCGGCTTGAATTCTGGTTGTTTTGGTGAAGAAAAACACATAATAACAATACTGATGTTTGAGAATTACTATATTTTCATCGAAAACCTTATAGTTTTTATGGTAAGACCAATGTGGTCAGCATCATGTATTGCAAGTGTGTACTATCATTTCAAGTACTCTGTAGCTTCTTCTTGTATTTATCTTGTAAATGTACTTTCAGTAATGTATTATTCATAATTTCATTGAATGTTCAGGACTTTATTCTCTTTCTGAAATAGCGTTCAATCACATGAAGGCATAGCACACACTGAAATATATGTTGTTTGTCGATTAGCCATAACTATCATCAGGAAATGGAGCGAAGTTTGGCTTGTCGCCCACCTTTGATGGTGACCTTAGTGAAGGTTTCCAAATTTAATATTTTTGATTGCTTGTACTATAATTCAACAATTTTAACTCTATAAAAAGTGCTAATCTGTGCTAATTCACCATTGTAATTTGTAACAAAATTGATCGTGCCTTTAAAAATGGCACGAATTTCATGCAAACTTACCCGTTTACACGAAATATATATTATATTATTATTAAATGCATGTCAAGCACACTAGGTATTTCTAACAGTTCTTCTTTAAAACACATCTTCATGCGTCATGCTACACAAGCAATGCAATTGTACTTAGAACCAGTGTTGAATGACTATTCTTAAAGAAATCAGCCCTGTTTGCTCCAAATTAACAAGAAAATCGCGTCAAATACAGCCGCCTAAATCAAATGAAGCTGTAACACGACGACCATCAGTCACATGAGGAAGGGGAGGAGAACAGTAGCTTGGAAAAAAGCATATTCAGTATAATATTGAAAGTTGAAATGCTCGGGCTACTCAGCCTTTCTGGATTCGTTAATATCAAGTCTCGGCAGTAGTTGTCCCCCTTGAGTCAGATAATTGACTCCCAGGTAATTTCCTGAATGGAAAAGAAGGGAACATTGTTGAATGCTTTAACTACACCAGGTTTCCATGCAGTTACGAGCAAGCTAGCCCCACCCTGAATCAGCTAAACTGAGCTGAATACTGGCCAGAAACAGCATGTGGTACCACTTCAGAAACGGAATTCGCATTATCACCCGTAGTATATAGTCTTATAAAAATATACTTCTACTCTTAATTACCATCTAAGTTATCAAAACATATCACTTATTGTGATCTGAACAAATTAATTTACGAAGGAAACTGGTAAAAATTGCACCTATCGAACTGTGTACACTGCCAATTACCAACTGGTTGGAAGTTGTGAATTTGGAAGTCCCACTTTTATAACAAACTTCGTAGTTTTGATGGTAATACCAACGTGGCCAGCATCACATTTTGCGAGTATTCATTGTCATTTCGAGGACTTTATGGCTTCTTCTTGTTTTTACTTTGCACATCGAGCTGCAGTGGTATATGACCCACTTTTTCTGTACTCATTCAACCTTATTATTGACCAGAGCATTTAATTCCACTAAGGTAACTAACAGCCATGCGTGTATGTGATATTTACTCTAATGATGTCTGAAGAAATTGTTGGTTACCTATCGAGCACATTTACCCGTAGAAAGAGAAGTGAAATTTCATATGCCATCCCAACTTTGATGACGAATTTATCACTATTATGGCACTGTTCTGATAACTTTAGCTAATAACCAACTATTCAAACCACTAAAACAATAAGAATTTATTCAAGACTTACAATATGAAGTTACATAATGTTTGATCATGCCTGAAAATGAACTTATTTATATGAAAAAATATATTATTACTACTTCGGAGGGGCGCTTCCATTCTACTTTCTTATGCGAAATTACATGGGTTTTACCGTTGGCCTCTTCCTAACAGGAAAACTGGAGACTTATCTGCTGAATATGTGGTTAGAAAATTGGCTTTTAGGCTGTTTGACTTACTCACGACCGAGCTTTTTCTAGGACTGATCAAAACCTACGCACCACGGCTTCATTGGGAATATAATATCACCACGCCAACATTATTTCAATATGTCACTGGAACCCTCCGCCAGAAGTATGACTGCCTCACTCTCCATGTTAAATCTCACACAGAAGCTGAATAATCATTCAGCAGCTACTAGACAGGTCAAAGTGAGGTTTTTTCCACTTTTCTAAAACTGACATATTTTGCAATTAATTGTATGAATATTATTACTTAGCTTTTCGATCCCAACGGAAGATTAAGGAGTGAAATGACTGACCCTGATCAAAGCAGTGTCACATTCCTAACAAATCGCGTACTACAAATCAAGTATATCATGCCTTCTATATCACTTCATGTGGAGGTCACAAAGGTTACATCAAGACATTTTTGGCATGAACTGTGGAGAATATCACTAGAGACCAGAAACTCTTGTTCACTTCTCCCAGACAAGAAGGTATTCGATGATGGAATTAAAAATACGAATATTGGACATTGAATCTTGCTCATTGTTGGAATGTTTTCCTGAAATTAACGCTTACCTTGACGACGGCTTTGAAATTTTTTTAATTATTCGCCGAAAATGCCACTTTACAGCAATGCCAGGTTAGTTTGTAATCTAATAATAGTCTGCCTTTCCGCATCACGCTTGAACAAAGAAACTTATTTGACACATTTTCAGTTTTTTAGAAGCTTACAACAGCCTCACAGACAAACACTTGGTACATTATTTTTCCACTGCTCGCATGAGAAAACATCTACTTGATAATGGACTTGTAAGTCATAATTAGGTTTATCAATTAACTACTTTATTTTGGTCTCGAGAATCTATGAATTTATAAACTTATGGAGATTATATTCGCATATATTCATAATAATTATTAATGTGTATGGACACAATTTCGAATATGTTCAGTTTGTATCATTTTCCTTCACTCTAATATTTATGGTTTTTCTGAATGATAGACTGTTAAAAACCATCAAATTGTTCCAAACAGAACCATTTGTACGTCTCAGTAGAATATATTATAAATATATAATATATTTTAGCTCTTAAATCTCAAATAAAATGATCTTTTCTTATTTTCTTTTAAACTCTGTTTAAGCGCAACATATGTTTGTCATGGTATAGACAGTCGTAGACCGATTCAGAAGTGAACTACTAAATTAATTTATTCCAATTATTTAATAAAGTTATTTAGTCACTTCATTTAAGCTGATTTTAATTAGATTTCAGATTTAGATATATTGGTTGAGCATAAAAGGATTGGAGTCTATGTTAATCGTTTTCTGGTAAGTTTCTGTGGTTGTCCAAACTCTTCTTGAATGAATCAGCTGAGGTTGCTGATACCACTTCTTCTGGTAGTCGGTTCCAAGAGTTTCTGACTTGGTGTGAGTTCCAGTACTCAACAGCAATATGATTTCTTCTTGGCTTTTGAACTCTCCTGCTATGTCCTCTAAGGTGTCCCTACCTGGTGGGAAAGAAAAGAGAGAATAGGTCAGGTCCGTAGTCATTATTTAAAATTTTATGCATTGTGATTATATCTCCTCTCTGCCTAAGGTATGACGGGGAGAAGAAATTTAAACTGTCTAGTCTTTCTTCTTATGATGAGTTAGTCATGCCGAGAATCATACGTCTTGCCTTTCTTTGGACTTTTTCTAGAATATGTGAGTCCCCTTTAAGACAAGGACTGGCTGCCTGTTTTCTAGTCTTGACCTCACGAGAGATGTATATAAGAAGGTGAACATATCTCTGGTGATTCTATTAAAGGCTCTGTGAATTGCCCATAAGAATCTGAAACTATGTGCAACCACCACGCGACAGTGTGCTGTAATTTTTAAACCATGAGTAACTATGACACCTAGATCCAAATGAGTCTGAACTGGTGAGAGTGTTATTACCTCTAGTTCATTGGAGCTGATGCTCGCTTGTCCGATGCACACGTTTGCATCCATCCTCTGGACCCCTCTGACAATTTGTAGAGGTCCTCTTGCAACGTGAGCGTCGCTCTTCAGCTCTCTCCAAATTTTTAAAACCACAGAGGAATCAGTGAGTAGAGACAACTAATGATATACAAAATAAATAGGAGAGGTCCCAGTGCCGTGCCTTGTGGCTCTCGCTACACACTGCTGTCCAGGAGGAGAGTTTCGAATTGATCCTAACCCTCTGCCTCCTATGTATGAGGAATTCCCTAAGCCAGTTTAGTAAACTGCCTTTGATACCAAGACTTTCCAACTTCATGAGTAGTCTTTTGTGAGAAACTTAATAAAAGGCTTTGCTGAAGTCTACGAAGACGACGTCAACTGGTTTTCTGTTGTCTCTTGATTTGACCTAGCTTTCTCTTGCAGTGAGGGGATTTGACAGGCATGAGAGGTTTCTTCGGAAGCCGTGCTGTGCTCTGGATAAGCTGTGATACTTTTCTTGATGATTGTTTCCAGTGTCTTAATTAAGGTGCTGGTGAGATCAGTAGGCCTGTAATATGAAGGGCTTTGTCTCGATCTTCCTTTGTGGATGGGGGTTACTATGGTGTCTTTCCAGTCACGCGGTAACACTCCATTTAGGAGAGATAGCTTGAAGATCGTGGTCAATGAGTCGGCTGTGTGAGCTGATAGCTCCTTGAGAAAATTATCAAGACCCATTGATTTTCCTGCATCTAGTTTCATTAGGCAGTTAGCACGATGTCTTGGTCGAAATCAACGGAATCTATTCCCTGTTCCTGTGATGGAGCCAGAGCTGGTCCTGTGGAGAGTGATGACTCCTGTGTAAAGACTTAGGAGAAGTAGTCTGCAATTGCTTCTAATTTTTCTTGATCTTCTTCGATAGTTCAGTTACTTGAGCGTAAAGTTGTTTAAACTGGTTCCATATAGCTTCTTGTTGGGACTCTGGGTTTATGTACCAGTTCTCTGAGTTGGCTGCTGAGACGACCACATTTATATCAACTTTGAAACGTTTGGTCGAGCTGCGGTTTCGGCCCACGATACAGCTGCTAGGAACTTGAAAGTGACCACAGTGTGATCACTTCTTCCTAAAGGGGAAAATGTTGTATGAAATCCACATCCTCACCATAGGAGAACACTAGGTTCAGTGCTGAAGAGGGGTGCTGTGAGTCATAGCACGAGGGCTTAATGACATACTGGACTAAGGCTAGCAAAATGCTAGATTTCAACAGTTTATGATCAAAGGAGCTGTCTAAATATGGCGTTGTAAGACTTGTCCAGTCAACCGATGGGGCGTTGAAGTCGCCGACTACAAGACTTCGACATTTCGATATTCAGCAGCCTAGCTTTTCTGTTAGGAAGTCATCTGCACTTCAGTCAGTACTGTGATATATAGCAATGAAGTCAATATCTCGGCCTTTACATTTAAGTATTCAGCGTAGAAGTTCGCACGATTCACTTTTGTGAGTGAGTGCTTCGGTGCTACGTACGTTTAAGCATTTCTTGAGGTAGATGACTACGCCACCTCCTTTGCGGTTTAGTCGGTTCACCCTATGCACTACGAAGTTTGACAGGTTAACTTCGTTGTCAGTGACATTGGGTGTGAGCTATGTCTCTGTGATGATAATTACATCCGGATTTCCGGAATCTGTCATATTAACCAGCTCAGTCCGTTCGTTCAACAGGCTGCGGGCGTTTGTGTAGCAAACTGTCAATTCAGTTCTGTGCTTCCGCGGCCTATCCAGAGAGGTTTCGGGATCATTAAACTGCCAATTCGGACAACCCAAAAACCCTTAAACTTAAGGTTCTTTTCACCGTTTCGGCGTCTTTCGCTTAATTCTAGGGCCACAGACTGTCTTTTGACACGGTCTGCTAGGCTCAAGTTGGCACGGACATATACGCCTGACCCTTTAAGAATTTGAGAGTTGCTTGGAATAGCATCCCTCTCTTCTTTCGAGTTTAGTACGACTTTGAGCAGACGTACAGGCTGATTTACTGTAGGGTCAGGCTTTTGGCCGGTTTTATATACTCTGTGTATTGTAATGCCTGATACTGTTTGTGGCAGTAGCTCATCTAAAAGGGGCTTGACCAAGTTAAGGTCACGCTCGAATCTGGCCTTGGGATCGGGGGTCAGTGACTCTTCCACTTTGTGGAGAATGAGCGACCTGTCAGAGAGGTCAGTTTTGCTTGCCGTGGCTTTCTTGCTCTGCGGCGTAAGTGTCTTTCAGTCTTTCGTGGACAGTGTGGTCATTATGTTGTCCTTATCTCTCTTTTTTCGAGATTTTCTGCCTGCTATCCACCAATGTGGATGAGACATGATCTACAAATCCCTGGGCGACTTTAGCTGCTGGTTTTCGATCCCTCGTACGCCTCTTCTTCGTGCCAGTCCTTCCATTACTGCCAATGGGGGGCTTATTGGGCATCATAGGGGCAGCATGAGTGTCTGAAATATGGTGAGTGCTCTTCTCTACTGAAGGGCACTCAATCCCTGATAGAGACGCATCAGGAACATGTATTGTTTTGTCGACGACGCTAGTCTCATCATCGGTATCTGAGCAGCAGTTGCTCTTCTCCTGTGGTGGAGGACCTTTGCAATCCAGGAGCTTTAAGGCTCCACTGAGAGTGGCAATGGTTTCCAGTATACGAAACTTAGTCATACTACAGCAGTCATTGCACAGCCAGTTCGCCAGAGGTTTGCATCAGCGCTTGTATGCTGCAGGAGTTAGGTTTATGCACATGCTATGAAACCATCTTTTGCAGTTATCACACTGCATTCCTTTTTCAACTGGAAATTGGCACATAACTCTTCCACAGTGGTTCCTTTTGATAGGCATGCTTTTCAGAGTGAATTGGGACAAAAAGATTCAAATATGACCTTATGAATATATGACCTTTATATAAATCAGTGATGAAAAACCAATGAGTGTACAAAAATAGATATACATATGACTATTAAGTTATAAGAACACAACTTCCTGTCACTAAATAGACTCAAAACTTAAACGTAAACTACTTTCTATCAGAATAAACTGATATAAAGTTAACCTATAGACTTCTGGAGCGTATAACACAACAAAAACCAAAACTAAACAACAACGTTTAAAATTCACTCCCTTTTCAAAGTTCGCAGTACTCATCTATTTGGGATTCGAATCCAGAGCCTTCCGGTTGCAAGGCGAACTCGTAGATCATTCAGCCAGTGGGACTCGATCTACAGGGGTTGAGATTTCCAACTTCTGCTAATTTGTGATACATTTGGCACAACTGCCAGACAATGTCATAGGCGAGTAGTAATAACCGATCTCTTACTCCACCTTTAATGTTTACAGATAACAGAAGATGGTGAAGTTGTCCCAGAAGCAGAATACCGTGAAATACAAAATCGACAAAACCAGAAACGTGCATTTTTAGAAATTATTGCACATGCTATCGTTGAAAAATCCCTAGATGTTGAACGTATACGTCAGGCGAAATTAAAAAGAAATTTAGAAGATATATGTCGGTTGCATAGAGTTCAACGACTCAGAGTAAGTTTTTGTTTTATCATAGAGCACATTTTTTTTATTTGAATTGTTTGAACTTAAACTAATCAATATTGTTATGAGTAAAGAGAAAGCGAATCTCAAAATGTACACACACACAAACGCACACTTCATTACAGGGGATTTCAATGCTGTAAATTTGTCTGTCTCTTCACTAACCTTACTTCATACTTGATGGCATGAATTATGTTTTTGTAGCCTATATCTTTAATTATTGTGCTTTGAGGTTTCTATAGCAATCGTATTGATTTTATGGGATAGGGTCAGACAGTGGGAAATGAGAAGACAGGGATATCCTGGACAGACGTGAAGAACCTAGAAGACCTGGATTTCGCGCGTGGATGATTTATGTTTGATTTCACACAAAATCGAAGACTTACAAGCGAAAACCGACAAACTGGTCGAAGAAGCAGCCAGAGAAGACAGGACTCCAGGTGGACATAGACAAGACGGAGGTTATGAAAATCCAGCGCCAATCACCATCAACGGGAGGGATTTGAAAGAGGTTACTTCATTCACTTACACTAGGGAGCATTGTCTCAACTACAGGAGGAACGGACGAGGATGTCAAATCGAGAATCGATCGGGAAGGCGAGAAACACATTCATCAACCTGAAACCAATCTGCAAATCTTCGTCACTCAGCATCAAAAACAAAGTTCGGATTTTCAATACAAACGTCAAGTAGGTTCTTCTATACGGATCAGAAACTTGACGGGTCACAAATACTATTTCCAGCAGCTTGTTGCAGACCTTTATCAACAACTGTCTTCGCTGGCTCTATACTGAAGATCAGATGGCAGGAAAGAATCACCAACAAGAAACTATGGGGACAAACAAAACAAGAACCAATCGCCCAATAAATATGCAGGAGAAAGTGAAGATGGATTGGGCACTCGCTGAGGAGGCCGTTTGGTGACATCGCGCGTCAGACCATTGTTCGAGTGGAACCCAAAAGGGAAGCGGCGAGTGGGACATCCAAAGGTGACATGGAGGAGATCGTGTGAAGAAGAGTTGAAACAGTATGGACTAACATGGATGCAGGTGAAGAGTACAGCAGAAGACAGAAGCAAGTGGAGACGTGCAGTTGAAGCCCTATGTTCCACTAGGAACCCAAGGGAACAATAATAATAATAAATAAATACAACCTTCTCTCTTTTCACGGGCTTAAGTTCGACTAGAAAACTAGCTGACTAGTTAACTAGGTGAGTAGCGAAGACAGGACTTCAAGTAACACAAAGAGAAGGTGAACATGATGAAGATAACCCCAAGCATTAACAGAAACAAGTACCAGCCATTATTAACGGAAGGAATTTCGAAAAAGGTCACTTCCTCCGCTCATCTAGGAATCATCTTTCCAACTACAGATGATGATATAAAATAACCAGAATTAAAAAGGCAAGCAAGGCCCCTTCACTCTGAAATCAATTTGGAAATTTTCTGCACTCTGTGGCAAAAAGAACAAAGTTCGCATACACCATCTGTAGATAGCTGAATCATTGGCTATTGGGGATCTGAAACCGGGCCTCTGCATTCAAAAGCACTACACATACATTCACCCACCACCCTACCGTGGCCAAAGTAACGTTCTTGCTATAACTTTGCTTCTTCTTTTTATTATGTAAGTTTACTATTATTATTGTCATTATTGTTTTAGTATCACTATTATTCCCATCATACATATTTTATTGTCACTTTATTACCGTTTATAAATAACATTGGGTTTTCATACAGATTTTATAAAAACACTTTATCGTCTTTCCACTAGTTCCTGTCCATTCTACACAACAATATTGATTAGTCATTTTCTCACACTCATTATATCATGCCAACTTGATGATTTCTAGGAAAATATTCCGTCTTACCTTCTACATCAAGAAGTTAAAACATTCTAGAATAACCCAACCCTTACTCTTACGATTCGTCAACTCTTGCGTCCTGCCTATTATTCTCTATTGTTCCCCCTTAATTTTTCCAGGGCTACCGAAGAAGGACTATATCTTATTACGTAGGGTGTTAAAGGTTGTCAGCAGGGTAAGCAATGTGCCACTTAACCAGCTTGTTAATATGCTGGTCGACAGGCACTTGGACTCATGTGAAAAATGGGCTAAATCCATTCTATCTAACTCACACCACCCTTTTCACTCACAACTCTCCCCTTGTATCTCATCAGTCAGGACCAGAAGCCTATATAGAAAACTATATGCTCATACTAGCAATTACAAAACTCAACCATACCCTACTTAGCTCGTGTTCTGTGCGATGAAGAAAGCATTAGGCGTGACACCTATAATTCATTAAATAGTCAGTAGTACAATTGGACCTCGTCTTTCCAACGCATATCATTTATAGGTACAACGTTTTCTTTCTTTCTTTTCCTTTTCTCTTTTTTTCTGTTATGTGCTGTTTTGTTTCTCTCTTCCCTACACACTCTACTTAAAACATTCTTCTTCGTTCTTTCACACTTTGTACCATATGAAAATATAGTAGTGTAAATAGGGATCAAGAAGAACTTAAAAATAACACGAATAAACAGGAAGTTTGAATAGGAAAGGCAATGGTAAGGTCATTACTAAAGGAATTACCTGTTTATGATGGCCATGTCAGGGGGACCAAAGGTTGGACGTATTTCTTTTGGATACATATCATGGGTTCGAACTTTTGGATGACTGGTGCCTCGGCTATGCCCAGATGCCTTAATTTCACTCCTTTTGATTGGTTTTATCGAATCTTGTATATTATTTTGAAGGATTTTTCGAATGGCGCTGAATGTCCTGAATTGACCAGATGTTCTGTCACTGAATTATATACACGTTTTCGTTCTCCTTTTACTAGACAGGCTGGCTAGTATTCTTGAGCGAGTTTTTCAAGTTGGCGCATGGTATGGCGGATGTACTCAGCTCCGCACGAGCAAGTAAATTGTTATATGCACGTTGAAGTGGCCCAATGTGATAGCTTGTCTTTAGCATTTTGGCTAAATAGTTTCTTGCAGAAAAACATCAGTCGTAGGCTTGCGGTGAAGTATGTTTTCCTCAGAGATTTGCAGAGGCGTTTACTAAGGATTTCCGCTTCAGTCTGACCTTTGAATTCTAGATTAAGCAGAAGTATCTTCTTCGGGACAGATTGAACTTGTTCAGCAGTCTTCTTTTATTTTAGATTCTTGTCTATGAACCTTGGCGGAAAGCCGTTTCCCATCAAGGTTCCTTTGAGATTACGCAGTTCTTCGTCAATCACTCCCTGGCTGCATATCTTCCGAATCCTCGAGGAAAGGGAGAATATAAGGTTCTTCTTTCTGCTTAGAGGCACGAAGCTTTGAAAGTTGATGAATTGTTCATTCCATCTAGGCCTTTGTGCATATGGACCTTTCCAGAGAGCTGCTGGCATTTTTTGTGCGGTGGACATCAAGGAAGTGGGACATTCCGTCGTATTCAGCTTGAAGATTAAAGTAATGTTTCGGTGGGCATCGTTGAAGGTTTGAAGTAAGTTTTCAAGGTAATGAAAGTATCATCAATGTATCTCTTGTAAAAGCGAAGAATCTCTTCCTATCACAAAATTTTCTGTTTTTCTTATTTTGTATTCCACAGGAAGAACGTTTGAAACGTTCAGAAGAAACCTTACTGTCACAGTTATTTGGTAGAAATAGGAGATCTGGTGAAAAACTTCAACCTATTAGAATATATTCTGCAGGGAATATGGTAAATTTCTGATTTTTTTAAAAATTTTGTTTTTGAAGAATGAATTATACATTCATCTGTTTATTTCTCGGTCTCTCTTGATATATTTGTTGCCTCCTTGTCTCGACGCTTCGACGATATCAGGACAATAACATGCTGTTATTTGGTTTATGGTGGCTAGCAGTGAAATCCTGGACGCTCACTTTATCATGTACGGTATTCATTGACTGCGTATATCTGAATCTCTAGTGTGTGGTTGTTGTTGTTGTCGTTTCCGCGATTGAATGGACATCAACAATAGATAACCACAAAACTGCTGCGTCCCCAACTTCTTAATGAGAAAAAAGCTGTTTCACATTTAGGGAAAAAATAGGAGTACAATAATTACTGAATTCAATGAAGTACATTCGGCTATGAAATTCACATGCGAAGAGGAATCCCAAGACAGGATAAATTGCCTTCCTGGATGTCCTGCTTACAAGAAAACCAGATGGTAGCATAATTATATGAAATTTGCATAGAAAAAGTACTTGGACAGGACAATATACACACATTTTCACAGCTTCGTTCCTATCAAGTACAAAAGAAATTTAGTGAAGACCCTCACTCGGCCACAGGGTTAGTTAGAGCTATATGCTCAGAAGAAGTAATTGAGGATGAATTAAGCATTGTATATGATACTTTGGTCGAAAATATCTAGCTATCCCGACAAATTTATCAAGAAACACATGACAAAGAAAGCGGAAAAGGACTACTCACTATCTGTAAACAAGAAGCCACTTTATATACGACTACAATTCAAGGGCGATATACCAAGTGAGATAATTACGAGGAAATTAAGAAAATCAGTTCAAAGAACTTTCAATGATGGCGAACTACATTTATTATTCTCTACACGACCGATGGTGCTACCTCGACTGAAAGATGAAGTACCTAGACTAGCTAGCCACTTCAGATTGTATCTACTAATTCAACTGCGCTTGTGGAGAGAGTTATATTGGCCGTTGCTCTAGGAACCTGATTTTTCGTGCTCGAGAACATCTCCCACTATGGCTAAGAAAAGGTGTAGTGAAAACCATCAACAGTTCGATATTGGACCATCTAGTACAGACCGACCGCAAAGCCAGTGTTGAAGAATCCTTCTCTATCATTATCTACCGGGTGGCTAATAGATTGCCGAAAACATCGAAGCACCGCATGCTCTAAACAGCAGAGGCTATTGCAGTTCGTCTTGAACAACCAGTGCTCTGTGTTCAAAGAAATGCGGTAGACTGGACAATGTGACAGACAACCGATAGCGAGGAAACAGGCATAAAATGCACCCTCACGAAAAACTTGGAGAATCTGGACTTCGCCGGTGATATATGTCTGATTTCCCACGAACTGGAAGATATGCAAGTGAAAAGCAACAAGTTGGCAGAAGAAGCATCCATAGAAGATAGAACTTCAGATGTACATAGAGAAAACAGAGGTAGGTGATGAAGATTCCTGGCCAACAGCAACAGCAACAAAAACAGACAACAATCAGCATAAATGGGAGTAACCTGAAGTAAACAATCTCATTTACTTACCTGAGGAGCATCGTTTCAACTATAGGCGGAAATGACGAGGATATCAAAGTGAGGATCGAGAAAGCAAGGCAAGCTTTCATTACTCACATGAAGTCTGTGTGGAGGTCAACATCACTACTCAGCATGAAAAATGAGATCCGGATTTTCGACTCCAATATGAAGTTAGTGCCACTATACAGATCAGAGATTTGGCGCGTCATGAAGAGCACTTCGAACAAACTAAATACCCTCATCAACAGCTGTCTTCGCTCAATACTACTCAAAATAAGATGGCCGGTCAGGAAAGATCGGCAACAGGGATTGATCTCTTGTAATGAGCGAACCAACCCAGCAGGAACCAATTATGCAAGAAATATTCAGGAAGAAATGGAAGTGGATTGTGGCCATACTTTGAGAAAACAAACCATCAGGTGACATCACACGCCAAGTCATCACTCCAGTGGAACCCGAATGGGAAGCGGTGAGTTGGTCATCAGTGCGAGGTTGATGTGGAGGAGGTCATGTGAAAAGGAGATGAAAGTATGTGGGCAGACGTTGAGCGAGGTGAGAAAACGTTGGCAGAGAACCAAACGCAACGAAGACGTGCAGCTGAATCCCTATGTTCCTCTAGGAACTAAAGAAAACAATAATATAATAATAATAATGAATAAGCTGCGTAATTCTGTCTGTTTTCTAATGATTTCTCAATTGATTTCTTCAGCATTTTCAAAGGTATTCCTCTTGGGTCAATTGGAGTTGTAAGAACAAGAATTTGAGCCGAACCAAACTGACACACTTTTCATATTGTAGGATTTGTAACGATTTTAGACTTATTCCACCCGTTACATTTTCGTCACAAACCAGCATCAGTTAGAGGAGTCACTGAAAATAAGAGAGCTGCGGACATCTGTCTAGTCAATATTTTGGAACTCCTCACAGTGCTCACCCACTACCCCGCCAGATGAAAAATGAAATTAATCCAAAATCCTCCTAAATCCTATCTTGAGAATATCCATCACTAGCCCACTCACAAATCCTGGATGGATTTCCTGCAGCTGCAGTGGAAAGTCGTGACCAGTAGGCTCTGCCATGTCCTTACCAGTGGTAAGGACAGCGCTATGTCACGAATTGACACAGTTAAGATCTACGGGTCATTAAATCCCCCCCAAGTGATTGAATAGCTAACAAACTTACTGTCATTATCTGAAGCTACTGGTTCGATCTGTGGTAAGGTGGTTGCGGGTGTGCACTATTGAAGAGTCCACAAATAGGGCAAAACACCTGTCCAGTGATGTCTAGTGCTCAGTGACCTCTCTAACTGATGCATCGGTTCGTGACGAAATCCTGACAGTTAAAACTGACCCACTTTTATTTCTTTGGCATTTTTTCAACTGCTTACAACCTGGATAATCTAAGTAAATAGTTATATTGTACACGTAACAATTTAGTTCACCAGAGAAACAATCTGTGGAAGAGTAGTTAAGAGATAATAGTAGCTTATCCTCTTATTTTGTTATTATCTTCATTGCTTAAGTTTTGAATGAAACATAATGTCTCAAGGTGTGAAGTTTCATTAGCAGCGGTGGTATTGCCAGCCTCAAGTCTAACCTTACCACTTATCCAGGCTTATTACTGGCTATAAGGATAAAACTTGGGCACTGTGGCGGTAGAGTATAACTCCATTAGGGATAAGATTGTATTTTGATAAATCACACAGTGTTGTCATACAGTAATATTTACTGATGACCACCTTTCGAGCACAAACTATTGCTCATAATCATCATATCAAGTTACTCACACAAGACTTTTGACTTCATTTATATACATGAGTGGAATTGATGATTAGACATTTGAATAAAAATCAATATGGGATAATGTACATTCAGAAATAATAATATGAGTGTTATCAATCAAATACAATCAGATGGGAAATAAGACGAGTGTTTTTATAGTTAAAATAAGTAACTTGTTAGAATGTTATGATGTATGTGAATTGAAATAGAATCTTAAGATTTTAATAATATAAGGCATCTACAGTTATAATATATGAGGAGGGGACATCTGAGGCCTTGCGTCGTAGAATTCTTAATAAAGCACGAATTAGAGTGGCATACAAACCTAAAAAATCACTCAGGTAGGACAAGCTCTGAAGGCTAAAAGACCCTGTAGGTTGACGCATTTAGAAAAAAATAATATAATTTACAAAATACCCTGCAATGACTGAGAGTTGGGTTAACTTCATAGGTCACACTAGTAGGTCGGGGGTAATCAGATTGTCGGAACATAAGAATTTAGCTAAGGTAAGAATGGTTGACCCTGGACCACCACGCGTGACGTGGTTGACAATAAAGAATTTTTTTTATTTAACTCTGAATATTTCAGGAGCACCAACGCGATATCTCTGATACTGACAGAACAAGAAGATCATCGACTAGAAAAGATTCTCTAAAGAAAAATCAATTCGACAGTCTATACGACGCTTTACTCCGATCGCAACAACAGAATTTCCTGTTTAAAAGACCATCAAGTTGTTCATATAAAAATAGTAAAAAACAATCCAAGTTATTGTCAAAACGTTCAAGGCATAAATCATCACGTGAAACTGGAGATAGAAAAGAAGACAAACCTGTGATAGCTGATTTTTATAATGTTGAAGAGGATGCATTAGAGACGAAAAATGATGGAAGTGATACTACAACTATACAAGATGGTTGTGATTCTAGAGTTAGTCAAGATCAAGGTATTGTTAAAACGGTCAGAAGACGAATGTCAACGGATGGAAAACTCAAACCAACGATACACGAGGAAGTGAAACAGGTATGTACATGAGTTTTGAATAATAGAGTAAGGTTAAAATGGTGCAAAATAATACATTCTAGCAATTTTGATAATGAGCTGACTCCAGTCGGGGGAACCATTGAAATTCATCAGGGAGTACTGGTCAGTTGCGTCATCCTTGTTTTTAAAGACTCTTTAGCAGTACGCACCCGACAAAATACTTGGAAATTAATCTAGTCCTCACTAGGGATTAATTTCAGAATGAAATTGACTGATGTTCGTGTGGGATTTCGTGATCAGCAGGCACAAGCAAGTTAGGCGGGTGTCAGGACAGATACATACCGATGGTATCGGCTGGTGGTCGCACCATATCGCCACTGGATTTCGTCCCAGCTGTTAACTGACTTCGACTTATAACCTGGTGAGTTCATAGGTGTGTGCGTGTGAAGCGTCTCAGAAAAAAGACGGAACATTACAGTCCAGTCAGTACTCTGTAGTTTACAATAGTTTTCGAATTACAGTTAATTCGTGATCAAAATTTCAATCGAGCAAATCCCTGCAAACCAACCTTTGAAAATGGTTTAGAAAAAAATAAAATGTCGGTTACACCTACAGTCTTACAGTCTCGATGTGCGTCGGTGGCAAAGTGGTTAGGACTCTCGCCGACCATGCACATGGTCCGGGGTTCGATCCCTTGCCGACGCACTCCTGATATCAATGGTCGGCCTGCAAAATTTGGGCTACCGATATCACATGCTGAGAATTCCATGCTTGTACCAAAAATGAGGTGTGGAATCAAGCTGTAATCAAAAAAGAAAAAAATACTTATGTAGAGAGAAAATAAGAGGTTATATGCGTCCAAATCAAGTTCACTTTTAACAGTTTGAAAAAAAATTTGGGCATTGGGTATATGATATTCATTATAATAAAGGTTATTTTGTATTTCCCCAATGAATGAATGAAAAACAAAACGATATTGTCGTTGTTTTTACTGACGTTTCGCTATTTAATGTTGCTGCTAATAGCTTGATAAAAGTAGTACTATTAAACCATAATTTACAAGATCTCAGCTTACATATAACAACTTAATCATCGTTCAGCAACATGGGGTCATTGTTTTGTTGTCAAATAGGCGAACTGGTAAAGATAACAAAAACCAGGTGTAAACTGTTGGATTTGATAAGTGTGTAAAATTATAAAAGCAGCGTGTGTTTACATAATGAAATTGCCTATCACATTCGTGTTGACTTTGTCATTTCAATGGGGGGGAGAGGTGTTGTAACCAGGTCGAATTCTGTTTTAGTCCATCATTCCTATTCAGTTCAGACAATTTGGATTCCATTTGATATGAAGTGTTTCTGATGATATTCGACGTTCTTTGTGTTTTCTGAAATCTTTTTCTGGATTATTTCAGTATTGTCAATATCAGTTTTGTAGCTTGATTCCATAGCTTTTTTATTTCACCGACTGGATTTCTCGGTGGTCGAATAGAAGAGCCTCTACGTTGTTCATTTCTTCTGATTTTGATTTCTCTCTAGTGATGCTTGTCCGATGTATATCGCATCACATCCCAAGCATTCTATTTTATAGACACAATTAGATAGAGAATCTTTAGGGATTTGGTCTTTTATATGGACAAGGTTGTTTCGCAGTGTGTCTGATGTTTTGAAGGAAACTCTGATATCGATCTTATTGAGTACTCTTCTGATATTGTCTGACGTCTCTGCTCTATATAGAATAACAACTGTTGAGGTCCTTGTTTTCGGAATACGTTTTCGACCATATTTAATGTCAGTGTTGATTTTGTTAAAAAATTTGACAAATCACAAAGAACGTCTAATATCGTCAGAAGCACTTCATTTCAAATGGAATCCAAATTATCTGAATAGGAACGATGGATTAAACAGAATTTGACCTGGTTACAACACCTCCCTCTCCCATGAAGTGACAAAATCAACACGGATGTGATCAGCAATTTCATTATGTAAACACATGCTGCTTTACAATTTTACACACTTATCAAATCCAACAGTTTACACCTACCTGGTTTTGTTATCTTTACCAATTGGTCAACTTGACAACGCAAAAATGACCCCATGCTGATGATATTTTTAAATGAATTTGCGGAAAAGAGTCTCTTCGCTGAACTACTGGTCTTCTCTCTAATAAATACCATTTCTTTACTTTCTAGTGGTATTACCAATAAAATATTAATATTGTGAACACTGCTCACACTTCTAGTGTCATTATAGCTTGGAACAGATAACCTTAAATTCTAAGGTTACTATCTACCTACTCCTTTTTATTTAGTTCATTTAAAGAACTTTAATACAAAAAAAAACGCAGTAAAAGTAAGTAGTGAGGCACTTTCTTCTGCTTTATTTTCGAAGTACACTTTTGAGTCTCTCATCTGTTTACCTTATATTACAAACTTTTAAATGAACGCTAAACTAGGCTAGACGCGGGGGGGGGTGATTTATTTTGGTTTCTATTCTCTGAACTTAAATACCTGTTAGCATTCATATAATAATAATAATTTAAAACAATTAGTTCCCTTTATGAATTAAGATAAAGCAATAAGAGTACGTAATTTGTTTGTCTGAATCGTGTAATGTATTTGCGCAACACATTTCGAACAATCTGATCCACCACACACGGACTTGTCATAGGAATATATATGAAATTAATAAAGAGCTAAGAGGTGAGAAAATAGACTTAGGTCAAGTTAAAAGGACATATTGAAGGTCAAAATAACAATGAAGACCACTAAACCAAATAGCAGAGGTAATAGTACATCTGCTATGGTGTCAAAACAAAATTGACCAAGGAAGGTTTAATGTGATGATGAATTGTTTCTGATGAACGCATAAAGGTGGTTTAAACATCCCAATTGCTAGCTAGGGCTTCCACAAACTTTAGTATACGCCCTCCTCAAAACACGTTTTATAGATAGGTTTACAATATCTGTTAACGTCAATTTTATGTCCTGTCTCTATAATATGTTTCGCAATAGAGGAGCTGAGTCTCCTGTTCTCACCAATAATGCGTTCTGAAGATTCTATTTACTTCTGGAGCTATTTAGGAATATGCTCTGAAACTAGCCCTTACTTACAGAGATCGATGAGTCCTCCCTCCCTATGTGTATGTGTGTCCACACGTACATTCAAATAGGTAAATACAGTGGGATGTGACGTCATTTTTCGCATGTTCAAAGGGCTTAGATAGATATATAGGCTTTACATTGTCAATTATTATGATATTAGCTGCATAAAAAGCCTTTCTAACAGCAGCGTTCAGTCTTTGTCTAGTTATCAGACTACTTTGATGGCCCATATAGGGTAGCTTGATGTACGTATTGGAGAGTGGGTCTTGGCGTTCTGACTACTTTATATCTCCTGATGAACTTGTCTAGATAATTGTTATCAACCAGAGTTTGTGTCAACTTTCTTTCTTCTTCATTAAGTGTGTCTTCAGTGCATATTCGTTGAATTCTGATGAAGAGGCACCTTACTAAGGCTCTTTTGTACCGAACAGGGCAGAAATTGTGGTAATTAAGACACTGTCCTGTCCAGGCAGGTTTTCTATAAAACAGATCATTTTAATGATCCATCAAGCCGTCGACTAAGCAATATGATCAGGAAAGATAAACAATTATCTTACTCTTCTACAGATAGATGTAAGTGATATGCTATTCTGAAATTCGTTCATTCGATTTAAAATTGAGCTGGCAGAACAAGACGCTTATCACTGATGATTACAATATAATCTACATACCTTCTATAAATTCGCACATTTTCGATTAAATCCTCCGATAAATTCTCAATGTACGACATATAAATATCTGCTAAAAGGGGCCCTAACGGATTGCGCAAATACATTACACGATTCAGTCAAATTACGTCTTCTTATTGCTTTATCTAAAATAATAATTATTTAAAGGTAGTAAAGAGTGATTTTTTCTGGACTTCTTATAGGTGCATAGTTGTATTTCAGTTTCTGCTTACTCACAGACACGTGGAGGACGAAGGTGCCTAGAGTTCTAGTGAGAAGTCGTGACCAATTAGTGGCACCCACCAGGTCGGATATGAGGACTACTCAGCACCGCTAACGTTGGTTGGTGGTCGTGCTAAAATCAAGAATTGACAAAATTTAGAATTTATGAACCCAAATGGCTAAATGGTCAATGGGCTTTGCTTTATAAGCTGAAGGCCCTGGATGCAATCCCTGGGGCGGGGGATGTTCTGATGTAAAGTCTCAGACTCCTTGATATTTTTCAGTGATCCTCTAACTAATATCGATCTGTAATCAAAACTGAAGAAATTCAAATGTCTACAAACTAACTATTAAAAAAATATTTTAATGCTTGCTGGTGATAGGTTGCAAGACAAAGTTATCGTGAGTTTTAGTCGAAAGTCGTTACCAGTGATGTCCACTAGGCTAGAAGTGAAGACAATTACTCGCCAGCGATGACAGTGGCTGATAGTCATGCTAAAATCATGAATTGGTAGAAGTTGGAATCTATGGGCCGCTTAGTTGGATCCCAGTGGCTGGTTGGTTCATGATCTTTCCTTGTAACCTGAATGTCTTGAATTTTACCCCCGGTGGGCGAGTATTGTTGATGAGTCCCAAGATAGGGTGAAACAGCTGTTCAATACTCCTTAGCATAGTTTTCAGTTATTTTCTAACTGAAACCACTCAGTGATTAAACTTTATGTCTTTACAGAGACCATTTGTTTAACGTTCAAGCTTTGATTTATATTAATATTACTATAATTATTCGTGTTACTGGTCTGTTGGATTCCTAGTGAAACACTGAACTTCAGCAGTGCGCCGCCATTTCATTTTGTTCTCCATAGTCTTATTTTTTAGCTGGCTACATAACTGCTCATAAGCTTTCATTTCCTTCTCGCACATTCTCCTCCATGTCACCCACAGACTCACTCCCAGCGCGTCGTTCCTTATTGTCCTACCTTTCAGTTGCCTGGAGCGTAGTGTTATTCAACGGTCTTGTTAGCGTATATCGTATCCAAATCCATTTC